TTTCCTTGCCTCCAATAGCGCATGGCATGTCGGAGGGCTTCGGTGCGCTCCCGCTGGAGAGCACGTGCCTCGATGCGATGAAATGTCACCTCTTCCTCGTAGCCGGCAGCTTGAACTTTTGCAGTCGAATGGTAGCGTGGATTGCGTGACGATCCACCAACACGGTATGCAGGAATGAAGTCCGAGTGGGGTGGTTGCGCTGGTGGCGGTTTCTTTTTGCGCTCAACAGTCTGCCAACTGTTGTTGGAAGTGGTTGCGCGTTTCGCATTGGCAGCCGCAGCCTGCGAAAATGTAGTGACCTCCGGTGGAGCGGTGCTCGCGCGCTGAGGTACTAGCCGCAGTGTTTGCTGAGATATGGTTGACGAGGTTGCGATCAAAGGTGTCGAAGGCGCAGGTGCGTGAACCGTGCCATATTGAGGAGCTTTGGCGAAGTCGCGCAAGATGGTCAGAACGTCAATGGCATCTTCCATGCTTCCTTGGGCAGCTCGCAGGCATAAACTCGCGTCATCTTTCAGAGCCACGTCTTCAAGGGCAGCGTCCGCATCTTGAGCTAGGTCCTCTGGCGGGAAGGTTTCCAATAAAAAACGTAGAGTTTCCGGCAGGATTTGGATGGTACACTTCTGAGCAATGCCAGCGAGTGCAAAACGCAGTGCTGCAGCAGGCGTAGCATGCTTGGGGTCGTGGAAAGGCGAAAGAAAAGTGGCGGGTGTCGCTGTTGGGATAAGCTGAGCGAGTCGTAGTGAGATAGAATCGAGCCTGATCCACGGCGACTCGTCCATCGCTCGTCGCACAGCGGCTGTCGGTGTTGGCGCGGCTCTGGGCTTGGGCTGCGTTGGCAGCGCAGTTGCCCCACCCTGACGGACGTCGCCCAAAACAATGGTCCTGCCTCGCTCCTTCTTCTTCTTGCGCTGAGGCTCAATCCATTGCGCGAGTGGGGGATGTACTGGACGTGCGAGGTCGTCTTCGAGCCCGTCAATACCGCGTTCCTCGAGCTCGCGAATATACTCTTCGCTAAGGATGACCTCGACGATATTCTGCATCGCGCTGCCATCCTGAAGCTTTGCCTCGAGTGAGTAGCTTGGGAGGTGGGGGAACGCTGTTGTGAGGAACTGGAGCATCACGGAGCCTCCGCTACGGCTAGACGGGCTGGATGACGATGTCTCTGAGTAATCTGGCGAGGTCCACTCGCTCGCAGTGTCACCGTTGTCTGTAGAGGAACCTGCTGGGTCGCTCGTCCATGCTGCAGAGTCCTCGGATGCAAAGCTCTCGAGATGCAGCAATTCGAGCTCGGCGTCAAGCTTGGCCATGTCGGTGGCATCGCAGCTGTCGCGGTCATTGTATAGTGCGGCAATCAGAGAGCTATCCAGTGATGGGAACTTGGTCTGTGCACGGCGAGGGGGCGGAATCTTGAGTACTCATGATCCACAGTGTCAGCGGTGCCCGCGCACCGTCAAGTCCTCCAGCGTCGTGGTTGTGCGCGACATTGCGTGGATTGTTACAGTGACTGTGTGTGTGTGTGTATGTTGCAGGAGCGGCAAAGTTATGCGCTGATGTGTGGGGTCTGCGTGTCGCGACGTGGGGTGCGCGTGTCGGCAAGTGGTTGGGATAAAGCAAAGTGTGAGGTCAACAGCGATCGGAAAGCAGCACTCCTAAAGTATGTCAGCTATCCCCCTCAGTCGAGTCATTTCCTCGTCCCTAACAACTCATATTCCTCTGATCACAGCATTCGTACAACCCTGTATTAGCAAACCCGTTTGCGCTCAAAATGTCGAAGGCGATGCCAAACAATTCGCTCTGGCAAACCCGGCGCGGTCGTTCAAGATCCGCACGGATTTCTTCGAGAAAGTACCCTGCATGCTGTACTTCCGCAATTCGTTCAAACTGAATGCCATGAATGTCATGTGGTTGTATTTGTTACATGTTAGCACTACAGCCGGCGTGCAAGCAACGGAACCGGTTCCCAGCTAAGTTAAGCCTACTTCTTCCCATTGAGCCAGCACAAGCCCATCAAAATACCATCATACGGCCCCAAATGATCCAAAATGTTTGACCCAAAGATGTTGGGCGTATCTCCAATCGAGCAATGCGGGCTCCTGCCCATTCATTCACATCAGCTTTGCTCAACCGCATAAACAGTATCGGAAACACGCACGTGTTGTCCTGCCCAGGACACGAGTACCACGACTGGGTTCCGATCAGCGGGGTCACAGCGTGCACCTCGCCGCTGGGGTGGTTGTATCCGAGGAAGCGGCCGGGAACGATGGGGATCGGGTCCTCGTTGTTCGTGATGCGAACCTGGTCCGGCAGCTGGGTATCCACCCAGTTCGCCCAGTCCGCGTTGCCGACGCGCGGCAGGCCGTAGGTTCGCACGGCGATGGTGTACGTCGGTAAGTTTGTGCGGAAGTACGCGGCGTCGATGAGGGCGATGGCCGCACCTTGGATCAAGTCAGTCAGTGTATTGGGGAGCGACGGAGATGGCATACCTAAAGAATGACCAACAAAGGTCACCTTCGTGGTGTTGAAACGTGCCGTGGCGTTCATGACAGCAGTCTTAATCAAGGAAATTGTGCTGAAGACCAGGTGTCAATGCCAACACATCGTGGCAAGCTGGCTGATAGGCGACTTACTCGCGATGCGCATTCAAGAACCCACTATGAACCCACAAGTTTGAACCGATGCCCGGGAATGTGGACGTGTTCAGTTTTGTCTGCAAGACAGCGAGGTCCGTCAAGACCGACAGGCTGAGCCGAGTTCAGCGCGAGTGTCAGACGATGTATAGCGTGATCACGTACAGCTTGCTCGGATCGGTGCCCTGGTGCGATACGATCACACTCTTGAGGTCGCTGTCGTATCCAGTAAACCACCACTGCACACCCGAACCATCTCCCCCTGCCGCAGTCGGCGTGAAGTTAGGTGACAAGTTGCAGTTGCCTATTATAGCATAGGCGGCGCGGTAAAGCAAGGAAGTCAGTTGATGATATTGATGATCACGGCGGGCCGTTGCGAGCAGGTCACGCGCGTGACCGTACGTGACAACTCTTTACTCACCACCGCAGTCCCAGGCCAGCGTCGTCTTGACACCACAGTACGCCGCAGCTGCGTAGTAGGTATAGGGCCTATACGCCGCTACAGTCGTGCTGGTGATCTTAGTCGCCGCCGCACTCCTGCGGGTAACGGTAGGTGCCGCTCGTGCACCTAAGGCAAAGGGGAGGACGGCGACGAAGGCCTCGGCGAGCACACTCAGCAGCATCGTTAAAGATAGTTAACGTGGGCTAAGGTGAAGGCAGAGGTCCAACGAGGTGGGGAGGGGAGGGAAGCCCACAAAAGATCACCACCGCGACCGAACCAACTGTATAAAAAGCCTTCCACAGAAGTGGCCCGATTTCGCCGCGGCGGAATGCAGCCCGCACGCCATATGGTCGAGCTGGTTTGTCTGAAGATCGGACAAGGACCGTTGCTCAGTGCTGCGTCCCATGACCGTGCGCGATTGCAAGCCCATCATCCCATGGCACAGGTCAAATGCGAAAATACGGGGTAAGCATTGAGATTCGCGACTTCTCTGCAGACGCTGCGTGCATGTGAAAAGCACAGATCGGCAGGCAGGAGAGGAGAGGGAGGCCGCTGAGACAGGGTGTCGGCGAAATACGAGTGCATCCGTCGCTTCAGGCCCGATTGCCCCACACGACGATGCGATTCATCAACACAGCGTGACAGATTCCCCGGATTCGAGTCGCTTCTCAGGCGATCCTGGCCACGCGTTGCGGTCAATCAGACAAAGATCTGTTGGCCGAGACCACTTTTAGACAATGCCTGGCAGGCACAAGGTAGTCGAGAGCACGCTGGTGGCGCGCTAGAACGCAGAGGCCAGCGCAGCGTGGCTGAGCAGGCGCGATAACCAGCCGCATCAACTCAGGAGTGCAAGGAGAAAGGTCCGTGCGGCGTCTCCGCGAGCTGATCACAGCAGGATAACCAAGACAGGACGCAGGTGATCATGTTCGAAAGTTTCGATAAAAGTACAGGCCGGTCATGCATTACTGTGGATCCATATCATGTCAGGGTACTGAAAACAATCAAGAAAGTGATGTGTTGAAGCGTATGTTGAAGGTGTGGGCGCTGATCGAAGGGGCTGAGGAGAAGAGCTCAACGACAGCTGCAACAAAGCCGAGCACGACGACAGTTGCGCGAACGCGATGTTGCCTCTCCCAGCGCGCAATTGCGGCGTCGGTTTGACGGCCTGGCGCGTACAATGCTGTCGGATATTCTTGAGTAACAGTCAACATTTCACTCATCGCGACGCACCCTTCCTCGTCCACTGGATATTGCTCCACATATAAAGTCTGGTCCAGGCGGGGACAAAGGCTACGCTGGCAGCCACCGCGCCAAGAATCGTGCGACGGTTCCCGCTTACTGTACCCGAGCCAGGTTGGGCCAAGACAGCCGCGCTGGCGAAGAGCAACGCAGTTGGAGTGATCACGAGCTGGAAGACGCCGGCAGAGACTTCAAAGAGAACGTTCCATGCATGTAGGCGTTCATTGGACGCGAGCGAACGCAGCATTGGATACGCAAACAGCGATTGGCCAGCCATCGCTCCTGGATTCGCGACATTGACGATGTCAGAGGCGCGCTGCGGATAAAAACCGACTGCATACCGGCAGTGAGGCCAAGTCCGACCGTGCCAACGGCTCGTGCAATATCCACGTATGTGTTGCGGGACGTCATGGTTGAGGCGAGGCAAAGAAAAAGACACGATCGCGGAGTTGCGCTGGTCGACGCGCTGAATGCCGAATCTAATCAGAGGATGGTTCCGTGAACCTCCAATTTCGAACCGCATCATCTTGGTACAGACGACTAGAGCAGAAAAATAGCAATGCTTTTTTCAGCATAGAGTCATTAACACAGGATTCCGGGGAATGAGATGTGTTGCTAGGCCTGTGAGGTGGTGGCCAATGAGCGCCTGCGACCACATTGGCCACCTCAGCGTTTTGACTGGCAAAACGAACTGGTCGCGCCCAGATTCAAACTGGGATTTAACTCGATGTTTTTTCTTCAATGAGTGGCTCTGCCAAGTGAGCTACACGACCATAGTGACATAGATGGCCGGTCTGTTCTCATGCGGTGTTTTTGGCTGAACCAGCATTACTCCACCCCATAGCTCTACAGACTCAGGATTCAGTGACAGGTGATAGATCTAAGTCTTTATTTCAAAATCAAATGACACAAGAGGCGGTATAATGACTGTATGCCGACCTTCCGCTGTCGTCCAACCACCTCATTAGACCAGATCGACCACTCAGTTCAACACGGTCGTGTAGCTCACTCGGCAGAGCATTGCACAAACTTACCTACTGATGCGATCCCCAGTTCGAATCTGGGCACGACCAGCTTGTTTTGCTCTTCCTAGCGTTGAGGTGGCCAACTGTCGGCTTTGATCGCATTGGCCACCTCCAGCTCGGAGGCACCGTCACAGATCCCATTTGAGGAAGAGCGCGTCTTACGCCTTGAAATGAATTTCAGCCTGTGTTAGTACAGCTAAGCCTGATCTAGTTTGGCTCGCACGGCGTGGGGGGTAAAGCCTTTCAACTGCTTCGTATATTGTAGATTGCACGATGCAGCGAGATTATAGTTCTATCAAATGCGTCATGACATTGTGCATAAAGAGCACGCAAATCGATGTCCGTCATTCACAGGACTGAGGTTTGTCGCCATTCGGGAAAATTGATATCATACTTACATCACTGCCGGTTGGAAGGTCATGTTTGTACCCAAGAGTGTCGAGAATGATATCTATGGCCTCTAAGTGCGATCTCACAAGATAATAACCAAATCACTAATCACATTTTGCCTAATATGTCAGAAGCCAACTGTGTCCAAATTAGGAGTCGAAGCAGCCGAAAGGGGAAAATAGCTGGGAGACTGCACAGCCAAGCAGAACATCCTCGAAATTGTCCTCAGCTGCAGTTGAGAGACCACAGATGTAGTTATCAAGCAGAGATAAGAATACACATTACCAAACTTACGACAGAAGGAGCCATTTCCCGACTGATTCACACAGATGGCAATGGGGGTTTTCCCGCTGGTTTGCTTTTAATTCACAGCCGGCACAGGGGCGTTGACCAACACAAAGGTCAACGGCGCGTTGACCACACCGTTGACCGATTTTTGATAGGCATCTCGGATCTCGTGTCGGTTGCTTGTGTCAGTGTGGTTGCAGTCTTCGGAAGTCAACGTGTCGGTCAACAGGCTGTTGACAAGCAGCAGGTCAACGCCCGCTTGCCGGCTGTGTAATCAGTTCAAAAGCTGTAAATTTCTGTTCAACATTGTCAAGTTGCATGCTGATGCCGCACACCTCTGAGTGCCGCGCGCTGCCGAGCGCGCGTCTCTTTCTTCTTCCCGCGCGATGGACGACCCATGGGGAAACGCGTGGGCATCAACGTCGAACACGACGTCGACACTGAGCTCGCGCACCGAGGATGATCCCTGGACGCCACCCGCTGCTACCACGATTGCGACGTCTGGGACGACATGGGAGCCGCCTGCATGGCCAAGCGACGACTATGACGACGGCGTAGTAGCCGTCTGGAACACGGGAGCGACGAACACCGACGATAATCACGAGAAAGATAGTCAGCGTAACGAGTCTGAGCCCGTGCGCGTGGAGAATGATGAGCAAGCGGAAGAGGAGCGCGAACCAGAACCCCTAGCAGACGAGCAGCCACCATTGGACTTCACTCCGCTCGCCTTACCGCCGTCGCCCCCGCCATTGCCCGTGGAAGTGCCTTCAATATTGACCTCGAGCCCTATACTCGAGGAACACGCGCATGTGTCTCCACACGGTAGTCCGGACGGCTTTGGCACATTCGAAACTGCACAAATAGACGACTCGACTCCAATCGACAATGCATGGGCCGGTGCAGGAACATCAGATATTGATATCAGCCCTGCACCAGCGTTCAGTGGCGTCGCTGTGGACACACCGCTTGACGGCTCGCGCAGCCTTTGGGGCGCGCCGCACTCGACAACAGAAATGGACGACGAGGGCGAGGATGAGTGGTCCAAAGCATCTGCGCGCCAAAGGCTTGAAGAAGAGCGTGAACGGAACTTCGTAAGTGCATATTGCGTTTAAATTATTCATGTGTGCTGAACAGACACACACAGCCGCGCGAAGCTGTCAATGCGATTCTCGAGCGCTGGGATGAACTCGCAGACGATCTCTGGCCGAAGCCTCAGCCAAAGGAAGGCGAAGACGACCAACCATCACCTTCCCCCGCTGCTGCAGTCTTTGAGTCCCGCTTGGAAAGCATCCCCGGGCTGTCAGTATTGCTTCACTGAGTAGCAAGCGCCACCCACTCAATCGTATTTACAGACCCGATCTCATCTCATCTCTCGTTCCGGACTATCACCTTCAACCAGCCCCGCAATTCGCCAAGACTGGCATTTTTTCTGCTTTGCGCACGTCTTTGCGCACTACCAAAAATTTCGCAGTCGTCCAGCAGGGACCACTCGCTCAGTTCTACTCATCCAAGGGCACCAGCGCGTGGGAGTCCAGCGTACGCGCTGCGCCATCCGTTCAGCCTGAAGCGGATGATTGGCCGTGGGCCAAACCTGCAGCAGAATCCGCAAAGATCGAGCAGAAGCTAACCGCCGCACCAGCGAAGACAGGGATCCTTGGTGGTTTGTGGGGCAAGAGGCCAAGCTCAATTCCACCGCAAGTCAAGCAAGAGGATGCTAGTGCGACGGGCTCAAGGGCAGCAAGTCCAAGACCCAGCATGGATAGCCAAAGATCATCGACGCTGAGTGTTGCGAGCAGAGATATCCCTGCGATCTCAACACCTGTGGCCGCGCCATCCGCGCCGAGCCCAATTGCCGATTCATCGGCTCAGGTTTCTCCATCCGCCGCAACAGCACCCTCCGCTGTATCAAGGTTCCTTGGTCGATTTTCGAGGAAAAGCACCGTGTCAACCACGAATTCATCCGACCCAGATAGTTCTTTGACGCTCAGCTCAGACGACCTAAGTTTCCTTTCTGATGTCGGTCCAGGTCACTCGCCATCTAGGCTTCTGTCACCCGATGATGACATACTTGGCGGTCTCTCCTCTCCAAGCGCGGGCGCGCTACTATCGTCCAAGTTGCCACCGGCGCTTCAGCCGCCACCGAGGAATACCCTACCATTGGGTTTGACGAAGAGTACGCCTCCAGGATCGATGGTATTGTTTGACGACGATGAAGACGACGAGTTCCAAATCAACCAAGGAGTGGCAGCAAACAGCGTCATGCTCGATGCACTAATGGGTGGTGGTATGGGTAACAGCGTAGGATTTGACCAAGGATATGCACCATTGGGCGCTCCAGCTCCGCAATCTTCACGTGGACAGGCCGTGCAAAGGGCACGGAGCCTACCTGCCCCGTCACCAGCGATCGCACCACTCCCTCCTCCACCTGCCCCAGGCCCACATAGAGTCGCTTTACCTTCTTCAGTTGTAGAGCGCGAGCAACGAGCCGCTGCAGCGATGTCTCGCGTCCAACAACTGCAAGGAAATTCTACAATGTCGCCGTCGGGTTCTCCGGCTCCACGACCGCCTCCCAAGCTACCCCCGCCGAACCCGATGTTCGCGGGTGAGGACTTCGAGAACTTTCTCTCATCCGGATCCACGTCGGCACCTGCGCCGTCCAAACCAGGTGTCCTCAGTTTCGATGACGATGACTTTGGCGACTTCGCGGAGTTTGCGAGTCCGCAGTCAAGCCCACCTCAACAGGCGCAACCACGAGTTACATCGTTCCATCAGCCGAGACCGCCATCTGGTCAGATAGGATATGGGTCATCATCGAATCATTCGGGATCGAGCTCTAGCTCCCGACCTCCCTCAGTATCGTATGGTCGTCCAGCTTCTACAGCACCAGTTCCCACTTCCAGGACACCCGTAGCGGTGATGCGCTCCAGCTCTGCCCTTGGTTCACGAGGACTCGGAACGCCTCCACCGTTACTTCCCCCGCCTGGATCGTCGGGAACACCTGTAGCCATCATGGCTCGTGCCTCACGTATCTCAGCTCCGCAGTCTGACGGACCTGCACCATTGTTGGCACCACCTCCAGGCATGACAAGGCGAACGCAGCATGTAGCGGATCTTCTTGGCGCAGACACTGCTGTGGCTACACCTCTCAAGTCGAATGCACTGGCTGATCTCATGGGGGATACACAGTCATCCTCGACGGTTCCTAATCCGTCTAGGAGCTCACATGCACCAAGTCCAGTGAGCCCCACTGGTCGTACACATCCATACGGCCAGTCTCCGCCTCTGCCGCCTATTCCGCCTGCGATATCGTCCAGATCGATTAATGGGGTGATCGCCAAGGCCCGGCCCAACGCACATGTGGATGTGGATGCTGCCTGGGGTTTTGACGATGAACCGAATGTCACAGCCCCGGTTCCGGCGCGTCCTAATGGTGCTGGGTCGTTCAGTTTGTTTGAATCACCTGCGACTACCAAAGTTGCTTCTCCCCCACCGTTGAAAGCTCTCTCTCCTCCACCTGGTTCGGCAAGGGCTTCGCCTACGGTAGGACTGCCGCCACCACAGGCACAGGCAAGCGCAGACATGTTTGCACTATTTGGTGGCTCCAATCCTCCTGCTCCTGCTCCTGTAGCAGCAGCAGTTACCCCTGTAGCAGCTTCAGGCAACGGGAAGAAAGGTTTGTCGGCAGCAGACCTATCGTTCTTTGAAGGGCTGTGAAAACTCGGTCGGCCCCTGCTTTCATTCGCGCATTATATCCTCACTGTACTTCTATGCAATTATCATTCGGTTGAAAGCAGTTTGGAATGCGAGCTGCAAGTGCTCTCCCAGTCAGCTCTCTCTGACCTGACACGGAAGAAACTCAGAAGTGCCTGTCCTCACGTGGAGTTTGGAAGCGAATCACGTTCAGGCGCCGTTCTGCCTACTCTAGCTCTTCCTTCCCCAGCTGTCGTTCAAAATGTGTCGCAAGGTAAAGCCGAATCAGAATACACGCGACAGACCGAGCCGAACACCAACCAGCTCTGACAGAACTGGCCGCTCCCATCCTTTCATACCAGTTTCTAGGATGGAATCCTTCAAAATTGGCGCGCTTACACCTGAGTTATCAACCCAAGTCTTTGCCTTCACAGTGGCTCTCTGCATGTATGTCAGCTGTGGCGCATTGGCCTCGCACCACCTCTATACGGCGCTATGGTCTGCAGTGCCGTTGGTCTCGGACCCAAAGATGCTAGAGCAATTGCTGTCGAATCTTGCGGTTATCGCAGTGACTCTGAGTCATTCAAGATAGTGCTGTACGATGTGGCGAAAGAGTTGCGTTTTCATAAACGTGAATGTAGAAGAGGCTCAGTTTCACGGCTCTAAGCTCACATGGGACC